TCAACCAATCAACCAATTATCCAACCAGCCAGCCAACCAACCAACCAACCAACCAATCAGATCAATCTACTTGACGGAGCAGATAGCCTTATTGGCTGTCCACCTAGGTCCCCGATCAACAACTTTCGTCCACCACAGTAGCAAACTGACCAATCAGGAGCCAGTGATGTTCAAGATTTGGAGTAACAACGGGTATTACGACACTGATGAGAGGTAGGTGAACGAACGAATGAGCGAGTGAATGTGTGAGTGAACGAAGGAGTGAATGAGTGAATGAACGAACGAACAAACGAACGAACGAACAAACGAACGAACGAACGAACGAACGAACGAACGAACGAATGAATGAATGAATGACAGATGGGAATGCTGGACTGTATTCCCTGGGCTGGGATGGACCGAAAAGGTCTTCGTCCCGTACACAAGGCCCGTAACAAAGGTTCATTAACATTTATTTTAATTTGAATTTTTGGTTTCAGTCTAATTAAGTAAAAGCTATGTATAACAAACACACACACACGTACATACACACACACACGTACAAACACACACACACACGCACAAGCACAGGTATACAAACGTAGCTTAGGCCTCATAACGGCCAAATGCCCTCGCAATGAAGGTCCTCTTGGAATGTTCATAGGCACTGGACTGCATTCCGCATTTTGTAGGCTGCCCCTCTTCGCTGCTGAAAAAGGTGGGTGAACATTTTTGGATGAACATTGTGGGTGAGCATTATTGGATGAACATTGTAGTATGAACTTTTGAAAGGTGAACATTTTAGCGTGAGCATTGTGTTGGTCATCTTTTCAGATGTGAAACTTTTAGAGTAAAAATTGTTTGGGGTGATCATTGTGGAGGTGAACAATCTTGTGTGAACATTGTAGTGTGAACATTGTTGTGTAAACATTGTTGTGTAAACATTGTTGTGTGAACATTGTTGTGTAAACATTGTTGTGTGAACATTGTTGTGTAAACATTGTTGTGTAAACATTGTTGTGTGAACATTGTTGTGTGAACATTGTTATGTAAACATTGTTGTGTGAACATTGTTGTACGAACATTTTCAAGAGCGACATATTTTAGAGGTGAACCAATTATTTGGGGCGGGAATTTTAGAAATGAACATTCAATGGATGAATACTGTTGGGTAAACATTTTGGGATGAACTTTTTGGAATGATGAACTTTAACGTGGGATGAACATGTTTGGAGAAACACTTTGGCGTGTGAACAATGAGAACGAACAAATCTTTTTAAAAAATAGCAACAACAAAATCAACATGAATAAGTATACTAAATAAAGGTAATTTAGCGTATATCGTAATCAAGCATTACGAGTGAGTTAGCCATATGTTTCCGACTACTCCGTGTTTTATAATCATGGATAATTCAATCCTTTTTCCTTCCGTTTGGCGCCTGCGTTGCATCCCATAATTTGGGATTGGGAGTAAAAAGTGGGAACTTCGGATCTTCCAACTTTCCTAGGAATGTATTTCCTGAAAAAAAAACAATTTTTCCAATTTAAAATAATACAGTCTAGAATAATTGATTAAAGTTACGTATTAAATTTAATTTAATGATGAAGATGCCGATGATGATGTTGTTGATGATGAAGAAGATGATGATG